GCCCTGGGTTCAATCAACACAATCTTAAAAAAAGAGAAAAAAAAAACCAACGCAAAACTAGGAATAGAAAGGAATTTCCTCAATATGTTAGAAGAAATTTATCAAAATCCACAACTAACATTATACTAAACAATGAAAGACTCAAAGCTCCCTCACTAAGTACAAGAACAAAACAAGAATGCCTGTTTCCTCCATAGCTATTCAACATTGTATTGAAAGCTCCAGGCAGGTCAATGAGTCAAGAGAAAGAAATAGGAGGTAATCATATGTGAAAGGAAAATGTACGACTATCTCTACTTGCAGAAGACATGATTCTATGTGTAGGAAATTACAAAGAATACAAAAAAAAGTGCTAGAACCAATAAAAATTTGGGCTACATCAGGACACAAGAACAAAAGATCAACCTTCCTGTACTCCCAAAAAATAGAAATCAGTTGTGTTCCTAAATGCTACTAATGAACAATACACAAATGAAATTAGGAAGGGAAAAAAAAAAGCCTACAGTGTTTTATGAAAGGAGAGAAGGTTAGCACTCCCCTTGACAAAGATGGAAGAGGCCCTCAGGCCTGACAACACACTTAAGGTTAAGGCCTTGCCACCTACTTCAAGGCATCTAACTATGATTTTTTTTTTCCTCCACCCCACCCTTCTGCCATCATGTGCTGCCTCATTGTGGGCCCAGAGCAATCGACTCAGCCATCTACGGASTAAAACTTCTGAAACTATGAGCCAAATAATTTTTTTCTCCTCAAAAAAAAAAAAAAAAGTAGGGGAGGGAWGTAAAAGACTGATATACTAAAAACAAAGCAGTACTAAAAAAAAAAAACTTAAAAGAAATAAATGGAAATACATCCAATGTTCACGGGTTAGAAGATTTAATATTGTTAGGAAGGCAACACTACACAAAGCAATGTATAAATTCAATGCAACTCCAATCATAACTTTTTTGCAGAAATGAAAAAGCTAACACTCAAATTCAAATGGAATTTCAAGGAGGCTGGAATACCCAAAACAATCTTTAAAAGAACAACAAAGTTAAAGGACTCGTACTTTAATTTCAAATTTTATTACAAAGCTACAGTAATCAAAACAGTGTAGTAATGTAATAAGGACAGACGTTCAAATAATGGAATAAAATTGAGAATCCAGAAATAAATCCATACATCTACAGCCAATTTATTTTTGACAAAGGTACCAAGACCATTCAGTGGGAAAAGAACAGTATCTTAAATAGTGCTACGACAACTGGATAGTCACACCTAAAAGAATGAACTGAGATCCTTACTTTATAGCATAATTAAAAATTAACTCTAATGGACTAACCACCAAATTATAAAACTATAAAACTTTTTTTAAAAAATAGGGGTCTTCATGATCTTGAATTTGGCAACAGATTCTTAGATATGATGCCAAAAGCACAAGCAAGAAAAGAAGAAATAGAAAAACTGGATTTCWTCAAAACTTAAAACATTTAAATATCAGAGGACATTTTTAAGAAAGTGGGATAACTCATGGAATGGGAAAAATTATTAGCAAATCATCTGTGATACAGTATAAACTACAGAACAGAGAACCCTCACAACTCAAAATCAAAGCTAAGTGCCCCAATTAAAAAATGGGCAAAGAATGTGAACAGGATCTTCTCCAAAGAAGGTACAGAAATAAGCACACAAAAAGATTCTAATTAGGGAAATGCAAATTAAAACCACAAATATCAATGAGAACTTGGAATCCTATACATTGCTGATAGGAATGTAAAATGATGCACCTACTATAGAAAATAGTAAATATAGGACCTGGGGATGTGTTTCTGTGGTATAGCACTTGCCTAGCATGCACAAAGCCCTGGGTTCAATCCCCAGCACCACAAAAAAGAAAAAAAGGGCTGGGGTTGTGGCTCAGTGCTAGAGCACCTGCCTAGCACATGCAAGGCCCTGGGTTTGATCCTCAGCACCACATAAAAAATAAAATAAAATAAAAGGTGTTGTGTACAACCACAACTAAAAATAAAATATTAAAAAAAGAAAGAAAAAGAAAAGTTAAATAGTCCTATAATATTAATGTCATCCAACAATTCCACTTTTAAGTATATACTCCAAAGAATTAAAAACATGAAGTCAAACAAATATTTGTACACAAATGTCTAAAAGTCCATAACAGCACTATCCACAACAATCAATAAATGGAGAAACCTAATTTCTCCTCAACTTATAAACTGTAATATATTCATTCAATGGACCATTACTGAGCCAAAAAAATTAATAAAGCCAGATGCAGTGGCTTGCTTGTAATCCCAATTACTCAGGAGGCTGAGACAGGAAGATGGCAAAGTCAAAGCCAGCCTGGGTAATTTAGTAAGAACTTGTCTCAAAATAAAAGTATAAACGGGCTGCAAATGCAGCTCAGTAGTAAAGAACTCCTGGGTTAAATCCCCAGTACTGACCAAAAAATAGAGAGACAAAAAACTAATGAAAATACTAATATATGTTACAGCATGAAGAATCTTAAACCAGGCCTAGTGGTTCACACCTATAATCCCAGCAGCTCCAGGAGGTGAGGTAGGATGATCTCAAGTTCAAAGACAGCCTCAGCAACTTAGTGAGGCCCTAAGCAATTTAGTGAGATCCTGTCTCAAAATAAAAAATAAAAAAGGGTGGGGATGTGGCTCAGTTAAGTGCCCCTGGTTCAATTCCTGGTACCAAAAAAAAAAAAAAAGAGAGAGAGACTCTTAAAAAATTTATTCTAGCTGAAAGAAGCCAGTCACAAAACACCATATACTGTATGACTCCATTTATATGAAATATCCAGGATAGGTAAATCCATAGAGATAGAAAACAGATTGGTGGTTGGCAGAGAAAGGGGGGAGGAACAGGGAATGATGGCTTAATAACAGGTATAGGAATTTCTTTTGAGAAGATGAAAATGTTTTGGAACTAGAAAGAAGTGGTGGTTGTATAATATTATGATTGTACTAAATGTCACCAAATCATACACTTTAAAATGGTTAATTTTATGTTACATGAACTTTACTTAAATATAAATAAACTAATATCCTCAAGCAAATGAAACAAATATAAACTGCTGGTACGAAAATAAATTGGTACAAATACTGAGGAAAGGAATTTGATCTTATCTGGCTAAGTTGATAATGATCATGCCTTCTGCCCCTGCAATTCCACTCTACTCTCTCTCAGTTAATGACAACCACTCAGTTAATGACAACCACTCAGTTAATGACAACCACTCAGTTAATGACAACCACTCGCCTCATCACCTTCACCTGAAACTGGCACTCCTGTTTTCTCCCTCTCCCTCCCATACCATATTCGAATCATTTTAACAAACAGATATTGAGAACTTCTTACTCTGTGCCAGGAGACAAAACAGCAAACAAAAACACAGCATCTCTACCTTAATAAAATTCCCAATTTACCGCAAGCAAAAGAAACTTAATTACATAATTTAAACAGTGTCATGAGCACAACAAGGAGAAAAAACATTATGCTACTGGAGTTCCTAAGACAGGTAACTAACACAGACCTGAGAGAGGTCAAAAATATTTTCTTTTTTTTTTTTTTCTTTTTTTTTTTTTTTATTGGTTGTTCACAACATTACAAAGCTCATGACATATCATATTTCATACATTAGATTGAAGTGGGTTATGAACTCCCAATTTTACCCCAAATGCAGATTGCAGAATCACGTCGGTTACACATCCACAATTTTACATAATGCCCAATTAGTAATTGTTGTATTCTGCTACTGGTCAAAAATATTTTCTGGAAGGACATCCAGGCTAGGGTCTGAAGGGCACASAGAAGCCAACTAAGTGAAGGAAGACAAAAATAGTCTAATCAATCATTTAATCATTCCTTCTCATTTTTTTAGTTTTATTAAAGCTATTGCTCCCTCTTTTTTAATCCATATTATTATCCACTGTAAGTATACATCACCACTAACCTACAAAAATCTACTAACTAGTATATTCCTTCAACAGTTTCCCAAGCAAACTTGTAAACATACACCCATCTGTAACTACACAAAGGGTAGTTAAAGACTCTACTCCCTTCACACAGAATTAAAGCCTCAATAATGTGGTCCCTGTCTGTATCAATCCCTGCCTCTTTTCACTTCTAGATAATCCAGTTTGTATTTATCCACATGTATTACTGTATTACTCAACAGAAAGCAGTTGCTGTGTCTCTGATGTCTTAGTTGTGTCAYTGACATATAATAAGTCCTCAATATATGTTTGTTGAAGAAATAAATGAAAAGAAAAATAATAGCAATAGCTGCGATTTATTCAGCACCTATTATATGGCAGGCACCTCATTAGGTATTGTACATACATTCTCCTCCAATCTTACAACAACCCTGAAAGTTAGGTATTAATAGCCTCCTTTTAGTGAAAAGAAAACTAGGGCTCAGAAAAAATTAGGTAGATTGCCAAGGATACCAATCAATTCAGTAGCAGTTCAGCGTGGGACCAAGATTCACTGAACTTCAAAATCAGAATTATTCCACAGCATCAAGCTGCCTCCCAAACTACTTTTAAATAGTATCTTTCTCCAAATATCAACACATCTTAGTATTTATAAACTACCTTCCCCAAAGTGAACATCAATTAGAATTATCTGCCTCAAATTGCGTTAAGATGTACCAAGCATTACCAAGCATTACGTACTAATTCAGTTCCCAAAATATAGAAGTGAAAAAAAAAACTAATGATTCTTAGTAGCCCAATCACCCCCAATAAAACAGTACTCAACAATCATCTAAATCTGGTAAAAAAGTTTTAAGTTTGTATGGCAAAATTGAAAATAACTATATTATTCTTTAATACTTCAAGTTCCATGCATTTCAGTTTGCTTGAGAGTAGAATGAAAAACACTCAACTAATCTCAGATATGGAATCCCACTTAAAGAGGCAGATGATATAGAAAAATCCACTTTGAATTAGGCAATACATACTTCATGAATACTAAGAAGTTAATATTCAATTTCTCCCATATTTACCACCCATACACACACACACCATAGCACACACAGACAGAGACAAAAGAAGAACTCAATATCACACTATGGTCCCTCTGGTTATTTCAGTCTTCTGAGATGATAGCATTTCAACCTTATATTTCTAAAGGAATTAAGACCCAACAGGATTAAAAATTCAAGTTGTTAAGAAAGTAAAGACTAAATGATACTAGCAGGGCCTTTGGCATCAAATAGAAAGGGGGAGTAGGTAGAAAAGGGGGAAAAGAAATTAGATATTCACAACTAGTACATACCAGGCACAAGACTAGATATTTTCACATAAATTATTTTTTTACAATAGGCCATTATTGTTGCTTGAGTAACTTAGAAGAATGATTTTACATCCCAATTTTTCTAAAATTAGTCCTGAGAAGGAAAGTAATACATAAGGAAAGAAACTTTACTTTTTGTTCTTCCATTATTTGTACCATTTTAATGCAATTTTTCTATTAATCGTTGACAAGCCATGAAATTTTATATTTCACCATGACCAACCCATGAAATTTACCAACTCTGTCCATGATTTATACCAGGTCAYAGTTATAATGTCTGTTATGCAATTTAGCTAAATAACCACTGAAATTCTCCCTTTGGA